AAGTTTTAACGTTCTTAGTGCGTAATTCCGGAAATTAGCGTTTAAACGTACGTCCGGGGGTGGGATAGAAAGCTAATATACGTATCTAGTAGATTATAGTACGTTATAATCTTCTTTCGCTTACTATACAGTATGCTATTGTCTCGACCGTAGCCCCAGACCTCGACGAAAAGCATAGCTGGTTCTAAATTAGTATTTAATGCTGTAGCATTAACGTTTAGTAAAGTCTACATAATAACTATAAGGTATTACCAGATCGTCGTCTCCTACACTTAACCTAGATCGGGACGGTCCCGAATTTCAATAGAGGTTAACGTCTCTACGTCTACATAGAATAATTCCTCCCGCAACCTAGCACAAATTAGAATCGCCTACTTTTACGGAAGGCTCCGTGTCGTATCGGGGCGGTTACTGAAACCAGCGGAGTAGCGGAGATTAATCTATCATGCTTAATAGAAAGTCTCGCAAGTAGACCAATATTAAAGATAGCAATAAGATATAATAGAAAACAAGACTTATATTAAAGGAAAATAGTACGAGTTCCGTGCGTTAGGTTGCGGCTCCGTAACGCGCGACCCCGCCGAAAACTACGCAAACGCGCACCCTATCCCTAATCCTATCCAGCTAAGCTTTGGCAACTCGCCTACCCTAAACCTCCTCACTCTCGCTGCCGCTATTTCCACGCCAAACTGGCGCCCCGAGTAGCTCGAGCGACGGGGGAGATAGGTAAGAGAAGAAAAGTTAGCGGCGAGCGAGGGGCTATAGTTTAGATCCGGCGTAGCTAGCGTAGTAGGTATAGAAACAAGAAGAAGGTTTTAAGGGTTAAAGTTCGTTATGCGTAAGCCCCTACTTATATATAGGTAGCAATGAGGCACGATAGCAACGCCCGTGTCTTCTATAGATCGCGCGCGTATCACCTAGGTATATAACTATATCCGCCGTTTGCACCGATTGCACGCACGTATGCGCATCGTCGTTACGGAGACAGGAGAGAGGGGTATACGCACGGACCTCGTACGGGTCAGCCAGCGTCAGGGTATTAGGGCGCCGGTCGTATCTATCTACCTTCGATCGGCCGCCTGCACCACACACTTATATATAACTGCTTCTATACAGCGACGTTCTAGGGCCTAGAGTTTAGCTTCCCTAGTTGCAGATACCGCGCACCCCTACTAACTACTATACCGAATAGCCGCGTGCCTAAGCCGCTAACGTTACTAGTTACACCGCAGCTTACCTACCTGCGACCGGCCATCATACGCACGCCGCTAGTACTAAGATTAGGGCTTAAGTCTATTACCGCTCGTCCTGCAACGACGACTTAGCTCCTTATCGTCGGCAATCCCGCCGTCACTAATCTACGCGCGCACTACCTTCATCTCGTCCGGAATATCGCTAAAGTATACTCTACGTTCCTACTTATCCGCGTCGACTAGACCGATCTAGACGTCGTTAATATAGCGACTCCGGTTTAGCTTATGCTAGAGTTAGAACTAAGAGGCTTAATCTGTTGGGGAGTTAAACTTTAAGTAGTAACTATACTTATTCGGTTAAAAAACCTATATAAGATGAGTAGTAGTAATACGAAGCGATTAGTAAAGCTAAATTTAATATAAACGCGTGCTTACTTGCGATTCGACGCTACGCAACAGCGATAGCCTTGCTCCTTTACGACCGGCCACTTAAATGTGCGCATTAGTGCCTAGGTAAGACGCGAAGCGCAAGGCCGAGGGAAAACAGCGGCGATATAAGCACAACGAGGCTGAGCGGGGCAGGTAAAGCTAATAAAAGCCCTCTATCGCCTTCCGTGCTAGCCGTCATCCTTCTTTAGTTGAAAAGGCTCTAGACCAATTCTCGGACGTTCTTACTAAAACCAACTTAATATAACGTACCGCCTCAGCTACGAAGACTATACGGTGGGCTAGGTCTGCGCTTTACCTATCGAGCTCACCGCGGCTCAGGAGATACTCGATAACGAGTATAATAACCTCCCTTAGGACAGCGATAATGCCAACATATACACTCTTAGAAACATTAGCGAGTATAATATTATTATTACCTGCCTACCCGCAGGCTAGACCGGTACCAACTCTGCCGCAGCGGTAGTAATATAGATAAAGTCTACCTTCCGCGCGATTCGATTCGGACTCATGGTTAGGATTAGAGGCGGCGTCCCTAGCCGAGAAACTAATATTCGACTCGGAGATGTTATCGTCAGCGAGCTAGGCAAGGGCCATAGTAGGGTCATCTAATATAACTTTAGAACGACGACGCCGAATAGTTTCGAGCAAACAGGCTTCCTAAATACTCCTCCGCCAATACTCCTTACCGCTCTCTCGAAGCTACAAGCAAAGTATAACCGAGGTAAGAGTAATCTCTCGATATATATTTCTAAACTCGGTAAGCTTCCCCAGTTCAGCCGCGACTAGACTAGCGAGGATATACTATTCGACGGAGGCTACAACTATATTAGAGGGGATAACTATATGCTATACGACAACACACAGAAGCTGCAGCGGAAGGCACGGATAGTCGATACACCTAAAATCTACTACGGCACGATCGCATCGGGAAATCAGGTAATAAGAGACGGGGCGATACGAGACCGAATCAGCTCTAAATTAAAAAAAGTACTATATTTTAAGATAGAGGCGGCGGGCCTAATAAACAGGTTCCCGTACTTAGTAATCCGTAGAATTTGCGACTATGCCGACTCTTACAAGAATAAGAGATGGCAGCCGTACGCAG